AATTACCTGTGAAAAAGTATATACACTTTCCAAGGATGAACATTTGCACGTATAAAATAAATAAAATATCCAATAACTTTTCCCTCTAAATTATCTATTATAAACCTCACCTGCCAATTTCTAATGCAAACATTAAAAATGGTTCCAAATACTTAGTGTCAATACTTAAATTCTTTCCATGCACATTTACTTCTACTCAACGTATTCCAAAATACTACAAACATAACTCTCAAAATCACGATCATTAAATATTAAAACATAATTAAATTAAAAACACATTTAAAATATAAGTAAGCACATACATTAAATTAATAAAAATTAGCTTACAATCTTAATTACTTTAAACTAAAATCATTGCTAATAACAATTTTCCAATAATACCATATTAATTTATTTACTCCTTACATTTAGAACAATGCATAAAAAATATAATCAAATAATTAAAAATACTAACTTACCTAATCTTCTACAGATCTTGAGTGCATGGCAGATCACAAAATGTCCATTTTCACCAGATTTCTTGCACCGCCATTCAAATTATCTGTAATATCCTTCCTTTCACACAATCTCATTTCATACCACATGTTGGACATTCATACTTATCCGCAATTAAGCAATTCTTTTCAATTACACATAAATGGAATAAAAATTTTGGATTTACTTTATATAGGGCCATGGAATCCAAATATTAAACAACACTGTCTCACAAAACATAGAATGAAACTAATGCTGTACAGCAGATATTTTTTTTTAATTTACACCCCCTTTTCCGATTAAAGAACAGTGATTCGTCCATTAACGTCACATGGCACATATCTCATGATCTCTCATTTCCCTCACACAAAATAATGCGTAATCGGAACTGAGTACTTCTCAGTTTATTCCCAAAGTCCTAGGTAGGAACCTTTATCGCCTCCAAAATGTCGCCAAACTACCTGTTACCATATTCCAAAGATCAGCCGAAATATAATAATGCTCAGTTTCAATGTAAGAAAAGCTTGCTTGTAGTTTTTTAATTTATTATAATCATATTTACTAAAAGAAAAGACCCACATGCATTTTATGATAAATTTTAAGAAGAAATAAGAATTTATGTAGGTGAATACCTATTTAATCTTACAGAGATTAAATAGGTAATTCCAAGACAGAGAATAATAGTCTATTATCCTTCATTCAAAATTTCCGTAAAATAACAGAACTACTACCTAAGGCCAAAGACTCAAAATGGCAGTCATAAAAACAGACAGAAATTTCAGATGATTAAAATTAAGGACCCTCTGCTGATTTTGACCCAAATTAAGAACTTTTAAGGACCACAAATCGATTCCAAAAAAATTTAAGGACTCTTAAGGACCATACGAACCCTGTAATACATATACAGGAAGCAAATCCCAAATCTAGATGTCCAATAACCAATATGTTCTATTATCTAGACCTGCCATATTTTCACTTTCCACCAACTTACATAAATGGGAAAGAAAGGTAATGTTTTGGGTTCAAAAATATGATAGTGAGTTTAATCTTTAACCTTTTTCTCTATATTTTAAGGTATAATATAGTTTTGGTAGTTTTCTCATAACTGAAACTGTAGTGTCTTTGTATTAATTTATTAAGATATATTTCTCATTATTTAATATACGCTCTTGCATATTGCTCTTGCTTAATATATAGTTAATTAAGCATTAATAAGTATTAATTAGGTCCCCACAACACATTTTTACTATGATGTCTGTCTATGTCTAGAAATGTGACAATTTTTTCAGTAATAACTCTTATATGAAGCTTCCAAAAATTTCTATTTTCCAAATATAAGCTTTCTGCATTCATAAAAAAATTATTAAATTTTCAGTGTCAAAGCACTCTTCAAATAAAAGGATGCTCCACCGAATGTTATTGCCATGTATTATTTTTAAAGAAATAATATAGTAAATATAAAGAGACCAGCAAATATAAAAATATACATGGCAATATTTAACATTCTATGGGGTATTCTATAGATTTGCTGCTCTTAAAGAGTTAAAGATTTTGTTGTTAAATTTTTGCTAGCATTATGTGAGAAGAAAAGTAAATGAAATTAAAAAGACCAAAAAATGATCAATTTTTATAAAAAATTGACATTATGAACTGAGAAAAGATTGGAAATGTATGGCAACACATATACTCTGTTAGGATTCTAAAGATGTACAGCATTTAAAAATTTCACGATCTCCCCCCCCCCAACACTTTTTTTTTTTTTTAATCCAGTGAAAGAATGGAGAATACAATACTAAAGAAAAAGCAAGAGAACTGATTTTTTTCCCACCCTAATTTGCCAGGGGTTATTAAAAGAGTAAAAAACCATCACAGCTTGGACTACAACAAAATTAATGCACAGCAATACTACTCGTTAAAACTGAAGAACTGTTAAGCACATAGCAGGACTGGAGAATTCTAAAAATTTAACGATTTGTAATAATAATGTAAGTACCCATATATGTAATTAATTTAATATTAATATGAGAGTACCCAAATTTAGTAATCATCGGGCATCATGTTCTTTAAGAATAACTTATAGAACAGTTCATAAAACTTCATACAACTATACATTATATATTTATTTCAAATTTTATATTCAACAAGTACATAATGGTAAGCAAGGTAAGGAAGTATACGGTGACCAACTTCCAACTTTAATCCCAATTTTCCATTCATACTACAAAATGTATAAAGCTGAAAGCTTATTTTTATTAATGACTGGTAGTGGATGAAGTTTTTTTACAATAAATTTCAATAATTGGCATATGAGAGCGACAGATAACCATAATTCTATTATTCTATAATTTCACTCAGTTCATTAGGTTCACATTAGGAACATTAAAGAATTCCCGTATATTTACAATATGTATTGTATTCTTTTCTAAGCATATCACTATTCCATTAGAAACCTTTTGTTTAACTTATCAAAGAGAAAAAATGTTTAATTTTGTTAATTCTCACTTTCCTTCAATAAAAATTATATACTTAACAATTACTTTAGTTTCTTCAGAACTTCCAATATCACTATAAATCCTAATGTTTTTAGGTGTATTTAGAGTTATAATAAACTGTTCTCATTAAATTTAAAAGAAAAAAAAAGTGCATTTTCCTACTAGTATATTGACAAATTTGGTGCTACTTTGGTAGACGGTTACACGGATTTTGGCAATTTTTCTTTTGGCGAGTAATATTACTTACGGTAAACCCATTGCTGGATAAGTTATTTATGGTAACCGATACTTTGTTGACATAATGCATGTTATTATGCATAAATTCCGTATTTTAAATATTATTTATGGCTTTTAAATATTAAAAATCAATTTAATTTTGCATTTTTATTTGAAATAAAAATTTTACTCTTTATCATATTTTATGAAATTTTATGCTGTGGATGATGTAATCAGTGACGTCACCTTACTTTATAAGTAATTGGTTTTAATATCTAATTTAATCTAATGTTTTAAACATTATTTATGGCTGTTAAATATTAAAATACAATTTAATTTTGCATTTCTTTTTTAAAATGATTTTATTATGTATGATTATTTAAATAATTTTAATTCTAGGCGTGATATAATCAGCTCTCTGATTGGTTATAGAATATTTGTGCATTGATGAGCTGTAATCAGCTCCCTGATAGGTTGCTGAAAATTTGTGCATTACTGTGCCATTTTAAAATTTAATTCATATCTTCGAATTCCTTCAAAAATGTCTCCTTCAGATGAATGTTGTTTTTGATAAGTACCAAGAATTTTTGGTTTCGGAATCAAAAAATTGTCCTTTGAGACCTATTTTCGCCAGCCTGGCTTTCCTAATCAAAGATTTATTTATAAATTCTTACAAGGGTCAGAGGAAATTTATTTTAAATTTTGGAGGAAACGTCGCAATTGTTTCTTCAATGAAGTGCGAAAATGTAGATCACAGATGAAGACCGTTAGAAGAGCTGATTCTGAGACGGCCATATATGATATTGTGGTCATGTTGGAAGAAATAAAACCGCTGTAACGGTAAGAAAATTATAGACATTCCTCCTTTTTTACGACAATAAACTAATTGCTGTCATTTTAGCTCTAGTGTACGAAGCGTTCTTATTTATTTATTTTAAGTATTTAAGTAATATTTAATTCTTTTAAACGTTGGTATGATGGTTTTTAATTCAATATTCAATTTACGTAATATTTTAATCCAATTAAACGTTGGGCACAATGTTTTTATAGTGGTATTTTATTCTATTTCTATGCTATATGAAAGTAATAATTTAACCTTCTTTAGCATTTTATACTCTAGTAAATGTATTTATTCTATATAATATATATATATATTTATATTCTATTAACGTATTTTAAAGTATTTAAATTTAATAATATTCTAATTCTTTTAAATGTTGGGATGATGATTTTATTTCGATATTCAATCTCAGTAATTTTAATCTAATTAAACGTTGGCACAATGTTTTTGTAGCAGGTGTTTTTATTCTCTTCTTTGCTATATGAAAGTAATAATAACCTTACTTTAGTATTTTATACTCATAGTAAATGTATTTATTTACACTTGCCTGCCATCTTAAAAAACGACATTTTCAACAAAAAAATTAATCCATTATTTCTAACGATATTTATTATTTTTTTTTTTAAGTTTCGAATACTTTACTATGCGTAAAAACAGCGTTTTTCAAGATGGCTGACGTTTGTAGAAATCACGCCAACGTAAATCGCCAAAAATCCGTGCACCCGTCTACCAAAGTAGCACCACAAATTTTATAATTTTTTCCAGAAAGAACTTATATTAAACGAAAGAACGATATTAAAGAAATATCGCCATATACATTACAATTAATAACCTATTTCACATTTTTTTTACACTGTAAATTCAATGACAACTGTCACAAAGAAAAGTTTAACGATAAAAAAAAAAAAAAAAAAAAAAAAAAAAAAAAAAAAAAAAATCAATTAAATAAAAATAGAAAAATCATATAAATTACTTACCTGTTCTGAAACTAGGGATAATTGCTTTTCGATAGCAGCAAGAGATCTTAAAGAAAATTTTAAACGCCCCATGCTGTATATCAATTCATGCAGAGAGGATAAAACTGGTTTCAAGCCATCTTCATTAGATTCTTCACAAGAGGCCATAATCTATGAAATACAACAAAGTAAGCATATTCAATCTGCTACACAGATTATTCGAATACACTGACATTACTCTTTCTAAATAAGGCAGTATAAATGAATACTTATAGAAAATTTACATTCAAGCGTTTACTGCAAAAGGCAAGAGCGTATATTAAATAATGAGAAATATATATTAATAAATTAATACAAAGGCACTACAATCTCGGTTATCTGAAAACTGCCATAACTATATTATGCTATTCCTAGAAATGCTGGTATACCTTAAAATATACAAAAAAAGTTTAAGATTAAGAAATCGATTAAACATTAAACCAAAACATAGAAAAATTACAGTTATTTGACTTTGCAGCCGCGAAGTCTTTCTGCCAGTAGATCAAATAATATCAGCTTAAATCTCCTTGGTTTGAATTGGCTTGAACTAACTGCCGTAGTGAAAAAAGAAATAATCGAAAACTTGAAGTTAGCAATTTATATTAATAAAAGTTAGAAGGATGGTGACATAATAATTATCAGATATTTGTAAAAGGGAATAAATAATTATTTTACATTATACTCAGTCATTATGAATGTTTTTCCTTCAGCTATGGGTTGTAACATTTTCTTCAGTGATAAAATAGCTAATATTATCTGTTAAAGATTGTGCAATAATTAACATCGTTATTTAAATTTAACTACTACTTCACCTATGATTTTCTACTGCTAAGAACATATAGTGAATTTGAGTTTCAGAAAGCAGTGCCTCCTTTTACTCTGTATCACGTGAAGAACATCAATAAGACAAAAAGACGAAAGTAAAAGTCAGTCAGGTGGCCGCCATCAGTCGACGAAAAAGGTGAGTGTCTGGTCGAAGGTCCAAATGATTTTATACATTGAACTGCGGTGCTTAACCACCAGGGTGCCTGGGCGCCATAGCTCTACCCCTCATCGAATAACATGATAAAAGTTCGAATTATGAGAAATATAACTGAATGTGCTAAATAATTAAATGAGTAAGAGTTTAAATTCATAATTGCTAATAGTTAAATATATATTTTTTTCCTTCAGTACCTAATTACTAATCCATACATAATTAACTATTTTTTTAACAACTATTTCACAGAAGAATACATGTACACACAAGAGAAACAAAATAAGAAGTGCGACGCCTTAGTGCCACTAGTAAAAACAAAATGCATTCAGGAGGAAAAAAGAACAATATACAATAAAGAATCTGAGCAACAATTTGCATAACACATATACAAAATTATATATTACTAACATTTAGGATCGCTCTTGGGCGTTTACTGAAATTGGGGTCACTAGTATCATAACAATAGTTAACAACCACAGGATTATCCAGAAGTTCCTGTTTATCATAAAATGCCCTAGATAGGCGGCGATAAAAATTACAAAGATCCTCTATTCTTAACTCTTTATGAATTTGGCTATTCCGAATGTACCATAATATTACATATCGTACGCAATACTCCGTTTTGGGTAGGTTGTAACTGCCTTCTCAAGTGAGTCGGGAAATTCTTCTTAGTAGTAAACAGTATGGCATGTGTCTTTTCGACATTCACTTTGACTTTCCATTTTGTCAGCCAAGTCTCTAGCGAGTGGATGTGGTGTTGTAGCTGTTGTATTGCTGAACTAACAAATGCACTTTGCGTAAGGATCGCTGTGTCGTCTGCATACATGGCTAGTGTTGTGTTGTGTGTAGTAGGCATGTCGTTCACTTTAGCGGCCGAGCGGTAAAGACGCTGAACACTGGTAGTTCGGTCTGAGGTTCGAATCCCGCGAACGGGCTGGCTGCATGGGCGTTTTCGTGGTTTCCCCATGTGTAACGTGTATACGAGCCAGTTTCCCTTAGAAAGTCCTTCACGAAAGGCATCCCTCCCTTTAGGCAGATAGCCCTCGTGTGCTTTGCCATAATTAAATACACCAACACACCAACACCGTTCACTTAAATATTGAATAGGGTAGGGCCCAGAAGGGATCCCTGTGGAACACCAGCCCGTATAGGCCGGTTTGTGGATAATGAATCAGAAACATGAACGACAAAGTGTCTACCGGTTAGGTAGGATTTAAGTATGTTTGTGATGTAGCCTGGTAGTCCCAGGTTGTGTAATTTGTATACGAGGGCATCCAGCCATCCAAATGATTTTCTACTTATGTTTTTGTTATTACTTTCCTTTTTGCTGTATGGCAACAATCATTATTGTTTTCAAGTGAAAATATGCTTTCGTTTTTACGTAATATTTAGAATGCAGCGTTCTCAGCTTATTTTCCTGTTGTTTATGTTAGCAATGCTAATTTAAGGCTGCATTTTAACTGAATAAATACTTGTTTCATTCATCTGGAGAACTTGTAGTTCATTTGAGTGATTTGAAAGGCGTCCGTAACTTTTGATTGCAGTTTTTCTTTACATTATCAGCAGTTTCTCATGTCACTAAGCGTTTATCTGACATCTTCGCATAGCGCAACATGCATCATAATTAATTTTCTTTATTGGCAGCCAAATCTTCGCCTTGAAAATTTAAGCGGCTAACTCGTTTTAATTATTTGGTACTACTTTGGTAGACGGTTGCACGGATTTTTGGCGATTTACATTAGCGCAATTGTTGGCGCGGTTTTTACAGTCGTCAGCCATCTTGAAAAATGCTGTTTTTACGTATTTTACGCATATAGTAAAGTATTCGAAACTTTAAAAAAAAAAAATAAATATCGTTAAAATAATGAATTAATTTTTTTTTTAAAAAAACACATTTAATTGGATTAAAATATTATTTAAATTGAATATCGAATTAAAAACATCATACCAACGTTTAAAAGAATTAAAATATTACTTAAATACTTTAAAATAAGTTTTATAGGATTTAATTATTTAACATTAAAACATACGCGGCAATAAATATCTCATGAATTTTTTAAAACATTGTATTAATTTTTTAATAAAAATTGAAGCATACAATTATGAAGTAAAAGAAAATTATGTACTTACAATTTTAACCTGTCTTATATTGATAAGTACCACACACACACCAAAAAAAAAAAAAAAAAAAAAAAAAAGGTCCGCTAACGATCTTCATCTGTAATGATCCACATCTCTCACACTTCATTGAAGAAGCAATTAGCCATGTTTTCTCCACAAATTTAAAATAAATTTCCTCTGACGCTATTAACAATTTATAGATAAATCTTTGATTAGGAAAGCCAGGTTGGCCAAAATAAGACCTCAAACGGCAGTTTTTTTTATTCTGATACCAATAATTCTTGGTAATTACTAATAACATCATTCATATTCGAAACGGACACATCCATTCGCTTTGAAATCTGAGGAATTCGAAGAGATGAATAATAAAATTTTAAAATAGCACGGTAATGCACAAATATTTAGTAACCAATCAGGGAGCTGATTACATCACGCATAGAATTAAAATTATTTAAATAATCATTCATAATAAAATTATATTTAAAAAAACGTAAAATTAAATTGTATTTTAATATTTAACAGCCATAAATAATGTTTAAAACATTAGATTAAATTTATAGATATTAAAACCAATTACTTTTAAAATAATGTGACGTCATTCATTACATCATTCACAACATAAAATTCCATAAAATATCATAAACAATAAAATTTGTATTTCAAATAAAAATGCAAAATTAAATTCATTTTTATTATTTTGAAGTCATAAATAATATTTAAAACACGGAATTTATGCATAATAAAACGTGCTATTTTTTAAATAAAATGACAACAAAGTATCGGTTACCATAAACAACTTGTCTTGCAATGGGTTTACCATAAGTCGTATCGCTCGCCAAAAAAAAAATCGCTAAAATCCGTGCAACCGTCTACAAAGTAGCACCAATTATTTTACAAATAAAATTATTCGGCTATATAGTGTGTATTTAATTAAAGCAATATAGTAATATAATTTAGAATGGCGACAATATTTAATTTCATCTTATTGTTGTTCTAAAAGAAAGATTCTTTAAAAGTTATGCATTAGAGTGTATGATTCTGTCAACTAACTTGGTAGAATTATATACTGTAAAGTCAAATATCTTTATTTCAGAATCTTTGATGTGAAATGTTTCTTTATTACAATAATATTTTAAGGCCTTTGTGGAGTCTGGGGCTCAAAAGAAATAGTTAAATAACAGATAATTCGGTGAATTTTCGGATTGCATTTAACAGACCGAACAGATAAGATCACTGAATACGAATTTGGTCCACCTCCAACTCCAGGTGAATGGGTTGGCTGCTTGGATAGCTGGTGGTTTTTCCCATGCGAAGGGTAAATACAATAGAGTTTTCCTTCCTACGAAAGGTTTTCTCCGAATAACCAAATTAACCTTGTGGGCTTCAACTTAATAGATTAATATAGCTCGTCATGGGCACGGCAGAGGAAATTGGTTATGCAAGTAATTTGACAGTAACATATTTTAAGATCCATTTACACTAGCTGAATTTTGGTCCCACGACAAGCGCGTAAATTTCTTGGCTCCGCATAACCGCTATTTTTATGAAATTAATTTCATGTGCTGAGCAAATATTTTATTTTTGATATTTTGAATAACATTATCGCGTGGCTGCTTATTTAATTGTTTATGCAGAAAATGCATAGATGCTCAGTTTAATCTCAAAAAGTGTGAGCGTTTTTATTCTCATTAGGAATACCGTTAAACAAAATAAAATTTCTCGGGTTAGTGTTCCGGTAGAGGAAACGGACTTTTAAATCTCTGTTTTCCAACAGTGAGAAACGACTTTGAATAAAAAATTAATTCTGCAAACAGCTCGAGCTACAATCCAGACTACTCTTCTCATGATCATTGAAAGCAGATTTCTGTCAGAATGGAGACTGCTGAAAAGGAAAGTTTCGCTTTCATCACAAGCCCATATTGTGATGTCAAAGAACAGCATCTTGACCATGAAATTTTGATAAATTTTTCTTGGAATGTTTAAATTGGGAAAGTATTTATCTTAAGGGCATTCTGTGCAAATCACGTAGCTTTAAAACTTAAATTTACTTAACCAATGATATTTAATTTGAATCGATAAATAAGCGGAAAGAATTCGAAAGATTTCGATATTACTTGAAGGTTCTAAATTCAAACTCCAACAAAACTCAAAACTTTTACAAGTTTCCTTTGAAGAAAGTATAACCGAATGTAAAATTTTTATTTGTTGTTATCTGAAAATTAATATTAGGAATGGTGAGCGAAAAGGATATCGAATAATTTTTCTATATTTGGAAGTATTTTATCTAACCGTTTCAGTTATAGAAAATTAAAGTCGTGAGCGAAAAATAACGT